ACAGAACTTAGTCACTGACTGGCTCTGTGTTTAGAGACCCTAATTTCCTCATAAATTCGATGCAGAAATCTTATAGATGGGGAAACTGAGACCTGGAGATGGTCAGTGCCCTGCCCAGAGTCACATGGCAAGGTAGTCGTGAGACTGGTCTGGCTCCCAGTCCCGGGTCCTTTCCTTACAATGGCGCAAATCGCGGTAAGACTATGCAGGTTTCACAGAGCCTTGAATGCCAAGCCTTAGGCATCTGGACCATTCCCAGGAGCAACTGGGAGCCATGGCTGGTTCTTAATATTTGGCAGCATTTCATGTGTCTTTGCCTTCCCCCAAAAGGAGCCTTCCAGTGCTGTTGCTAAAATGCACAGCCTGGCTGCTTTAGGCCAACCTAACCCCTTTGGTCTTCATATGGAAAAGAGAGGCATCCTCTCCTGTTGACAAGAAGAAAGTACAAAGCCCAGAGAGGTGAAAAGATCCACCTAAAGCCACACAGCAAGTTAGGAGCCCAGATTTCCCCACATCCCAATACATCCCATTCCCTGGTAATAAAACCCAGAAGCCTGCAATTATGGGCTTGGGGAAGGAAGGGTCTGACCCAAGGTCAAAACAAATGGGTGGCAGAAGCAGGACCTTGGGCCTGAGTCAGACCCCTGGGGCCAGTGCAGCAGCCGACTAGCTGGCTCCCTTTCTCTGGCCTCTCTTCCATGGCTGCAGTCCTGGGAAGAAGTCTGCGTCCTGACTCCCTCCCTTAGCAGTCACTGTGCCCCCACCTGTCTTGCCAGGGGCCAGTGCAGGGACATCTCCAGGCTGCCTTCAATTATGAGCCAATAAATACGAGAGTGCTGTGCAACGAGCAGCCCCACCCCCACCACACCCCAGCCCGCCTCTGCACCAAGGAAGATTGGATTTTGTGGCGTTCATTTTTTATCTCTAGTCCATGTCAGATGGGAAGATTCAGGACGTGGGCTGTGGATAATTTTATCCTTCGCCACTTATCAGGTGCGGCACTGAGATGTGTTGTGTGTCCTCAGGTCGCCTGCTGCCCTCCTGTGGAGAGGCCCCCACCCCAAGTCACCAGCCCTGGGTTTCTGCTGCCTACTGGGGCAAAATGACATGTGTAGAGCAAAGAGTCCTGGGCAGGAAGACAAAAGACCTCGGTTCAAGCTTTGGCCCTGCTGCTGACCCACTGTGTGACCGTGGGCAAGTGTCTGAAGACATTCTGTGAGGTCCTTTCCTGCACCAAACCCTGTGCAGGCAGGCAGGAGTGACAAAGAGGAACCCCACCTGCTCCCTGCCCTCAAGGAACTGGCAGCCAACTCCAAGTAAGCAGATATCTCATGGAGGAAGGGGTGGCAGACGTTGGCACTGGGCATGAAGGGTGAGGATCTGCTAGGTAGAGAGAGAGGGAAGGGAGGGAAAGGAAACATTCGGGCAGAGGCAGAGGGAGCTACTTGAATAAAACATGGCCATGTGCTTGGAGACTTGAGAGTATGGCTGGGGCATAGGGTAGATGGAATGGGGGACAGAAGACTTCTAGGCAAGTAAGTGTCATTATCACATTTGCATTTTCAAAGAAATCTTTTCAACTACTGTCTGAAAAGCAGATTTGGGGCTAGTGATGGAGAATGAAGGCAGGGGGTTCAGTGAGGAGGCTGATGCAATGGTCCAGGAGAGAGAAGACTGTGCTAGATTAGAGCAATAACAGTGAGACCAGAAACAATAATAATCATTATCATCATGATGAATGCTATCGTTAAGTGTTACTATGGGACAGGCACTGTGCTAGGTGTTTACATCATTGCTTCTAATCCTCACAACAACTCTTCAAATAGTTATTATCTCCATTTTGTAGATAAGGAAATTAAGCCCTGGGTGAATTAAAGAGAGTTGCCCAAAGTCATATAGCAAATAAGTATAGGGGCAAGATTTCAAGCCAGGTCTGTCTAACCATAAAGCTCTTACTCCTTTTACTGTGATCTTCTTGGAAAGGGAGGCACAATTTCCAGAGAGTCTAAGGGAGTATGGGATTCATCTGATTTCTGTGATTGGTTGGATGTGGAAAGCAAAGCACAGAGAGGATTCAAAGAAGCTGTTCAGGCTTCTGGCCAGGAAGGCTGGGTAGAGACAGGGAGCCCAGGAAGAGGAACAGGTTTGGGAGCAGCAGATGTGTTTGGTCTTGGCCAGTTGAATTAGAGGGCAGTTGAATATTTGGGTGTGGAGCCAAGACCTAGCCTGGAGACAGAGACTTGAACAGTGTTGACAGACAGGTAGTTACAGTTACATGAGTGGATTATGTCATTAGAGGGAGTGTGTACAGTGAATAGAAGATCTAGGTTGGAACTTTGAAGAATTCCAACCCTTAAAGGATGAGCAGCAGGAGGCTAGATAGGGAATCAGAGTGGTGCAATGGGATGTCAGCCCAGGAAGAATGGAATTGTTTCAGGGAGGTCAAGGAGTAAGTGGTCCCTGATACTGCCGAGTAGTCAGTAACATAAAAACTAAAAACTGAGTTTAGGGACCAACAGGCAGCAGTGCAGTGAGTGCTCCATGCAGCAGTCATTGGGAACCTTGGAAAAATGGTCTTCAAGGGCACAGTGTAGCCAGATGGTTGGAGAGGCTTATACATAGCCTACCCATAGCCCTGAATTATCTCTCTGCACTAGGCTTGGGGGTGGGGGGTATCTTTTGATCCTGGCACACTAGTGACTCCTATCCAGCCTCTCCCAGAGATCCTGAGTCAGGTGAGGAAAGTAGCAGAGTTAGGACAAGAGATAGGGACATGAAGGGGAGGGGGGGAAAGATTGTAGGAGGAAGAGAGAAAAGCTGAGAAGTGTATAAAGACTCTTAGGGAGACGTGGTAACTGAGAAACCACCAAGAAGAAAAGGAAACTTATTTTGATGCTGTTTTCTAATAATTATAGTTACCAAGAAAGAAGCTACAACCCAACATGGATGAACATTAAATGAGTGAAGAAGAGTAAGAACTGTGTGCTCCCAGTGAAATAAAATAGTACAAGTGTCAGTCTGTTGCCTTTAAAGACACTTAGGCTGTTGCCTTTACACTTGAATGACACATTGGCTGGGTATAATATTAGAAGTGCATGTGAGCAGAAAAGCAAAACTTGAGCTGGATGGAGAAGACTTGACTCTAGTGTCATGATCAATTGGGTTATGCCAAAGTACTCAATGTTTGCCTTTGCAACTCTTTTTAATCTTGATGAAAAATTTGTTTCAGAACTACTAGAGCTCTAATATGTTTTACAATTTACATAGCTGATTTCATGTTTGATTGACAGGTGTTTTTTTGTTTTGTTTTTTTATTTTGTTTTGTTTTTAAGATTTTATTGGGGAATTGGGGAAGGGGAACAGTGTTGGGGAATTGGGGAAGAGAAACAACCAAGTCGTTGTCTTTCAATCTTAGTTGTGGAGGGCGCAGCTAGCTCAGCTCCAAGTTCAGTCGCCATCTGGCTGCCCGTCAGTAGCCCACAGCTGCTCAGCTCAAGGTGCCATGTTCAGTCTTAGTTGCAGGTGGGCATAGCCCACTATCCCATGTGGGAGTCGGACCAGCAATCTTGGGCAGGTGTTTTTTTTAAGACTGTTGATGGGCATACAATTTTCTTTGCTCTGGAAAATAGGGGTACAATCGCCATATGCTTAGGGCTGTTTAGGTGGGATGGGAAGAGTGGAAGCCATTGTGAAGAGGGGTGAGAAAGTGTAGACAGCAAGTGGAGAAACTCATGAAAATGGACTGTGCTGTGACACTGAGAAAAGAGGAATAGCTATAGAGAAATATAGGATGGAGGACATTTTTGAGATGTGAAAGTCATAAACATATTGAATGCTAAGGAGCCAGTGGAGAAAGAGAGAGAACTTAAAGAGGGGAGGCAGTGGTTGGTGGAACCAGTTCCTGGAGGGAGTGAGCAGAAAATGGGCTCCAAGGCCCTAAACTGGAGTGGGAAGAGCTTCGTGGCCATTGTACTGTATACCATAATGAGTAAGAGCTTGGGGTCTATAGTGAGATGGCCTGGCTTTGAAACCTGGCTCCATCAGGATGGTGTGACTTTGGTCAAGTTACTTAACGTAAGGCAGAGGTGTCAGTTCCTCAGCTCCAAAATGGGGATATTGACAGTGCATATCCCATAGAGTTATTATGAAGCTCAAGTGAGTTGATACACGTAAAGTGCTCAGATATTAAGTACTTGATAACAGTTAGCTGTTAGTGGTCAATACAAATTAGCTGTTAGCTAACTTGTCTTGTAAAGCTAGAGAGAAGGAGGAAATGTTGGTAAATATTGGCATGGACTATGGAAACTCCACTTGGAAGGAATGATGACAGAGCTCACACCAGCAGCTCACACATCTGCTCTCCAGCCAAGGATTGAGAGTGAAACAGAGCTGGGTTCACCTCATTTTGCCATGCCAAACCTCAGATTTTTTCATTTGGACAAGGCTTCAGCTCAAGGGGGTTTTTGAAGAGTTCTAACAAACGGGTAAAGCTCTGAGCAAAGGGCCAGGCACTTAGAGGTGCTCAGTGAATGGTTGCTACTTACAATTAGCATCTACTTCCTTCACAGTTACGTAGACCTTGACAGGAGGTTTGCTGAGAGGGAGAGCAGAGCTGAGGCTTGGAGATTTCAGTGCAAGAAGGTTTACTGGGGGGCAGGGTAGAGAGTGCTGGGCACTGCAGAGGGTCTGGATGGGACAGTCGAGCTTGCTAGGAGAGGAAGCGAGGCCAGGAAAAGCTGCAGGGGTGAGGGGATCAGGCAGGAGGCCTCCGTGAAGGTGAAGGCAAGAGGAAGGGGCCAGGAGAAAGGTCTATGGTGTGAGAGGAGGGTTGCTGAGTTTCATTCGGTCAGACTTTTCTGAGTACTAACAGTATGACAGGTGCCATGTGCTCCACTTTATGTGCTTGAGCTCATCCAACCCCAACCCCCCATCCAGTACGAGGCATGTCAGTCAGTCCAGGGGACTCTCTCTCTCTCTCTCTCTCTCTCTCTCTCTCTCAGATCTGTGAGGGCTTTGTGATCCCCTGATCAGGTGCAGCCCATAAATGGGTCTACAGTCTCTGGTAACGTTGGGCAGGACAAATGAGGAGGACCAATCATGCATGTGATTGGGAAGGTCTGGGCATCTGGGAGTGAGAACCGCAAGGTGGCCCAGCGCGAGGAACCATGGAGTTGAGTTATAGCCATAGGAGGTCATGTGTAAACAAAAGTTGTGGGAGAGCAGGGTCTCTGAGGAAGGAGAAGCTGTGAAGCACAGAGGAGAGGGAAGGAGCCAGCCTGAGTAGCGGGGAGGTGAGCACATAGCAACAGGGACCCACTGACAAAGAGGTGGGGAGAGGCACCAGCCCCCAGTGGCCTCCATTCTTCCCAGTGTTTGGGTCCAGTTCCGGTCCCCAGAGCTGGCTCCTTCCCCAAATCTCCTTTGTCTAAATGAGCTCAAGTGATTTTCTGTTCTTTGTAACTAAAGAAACCTGCATTTTTATTTGCAATTAAAGCACATCCCCATTTTGCAAATGAGAAAACTAAGAGTGAAGTGCGAAATGAGTTATGAAGTCACACATAGCTAGCTAGTCAGTGGCAGAGCTAGAATTAGAATCCAAGAGACTTCTTTCTTCAGAGCCCACTCCTGCTCCTGCCTCAGCCCCGAGGAAGCCAGGCCCCTTCTCCTCAGCCCCAGCTCTTATCCTCAGACCTTGTTGCGCCTGAAAGAGGGGATGGCAAATCCCTTAAAACCCAGCCAGAGGGGTTAGCTCAGGTGGTTAGAGCGCAGTGCTCATAACACCAAGGTTGCTGGTACGATGCCCCCATGGACCATTGAGTTGCACCCTCCATAACTAGATTGAAACAACTACTTGACTTGGAGTTGATAGGTCCTGGAAAAACACCCTGTTCCCCAATAAAAAAAAAAGTTTTTAAAAAAACCCAGCCAGAGTCCTGCCAAGTGGGATATGCCAGCATAGAAGCTCTCCTAGCTGGGAGGGGTGGCTGGTGTCAGGACTGATTTGTTCTCTAAAATCTGCCTTCCCCTCAGGGTTTCTTCTTGGGATCCCCAACCCCAAGTCCCTTTGGGGCTTTCCCATCCCACTGGGGACCCTTGCCATTCATGCCCATAGTGGCTGGGCATCAAATTTTACAGCTCTGAGGAGAGGGTATAGGGGCTTGAAGGACCCAGGCAGGGGGGACAAGGGCCAGACCTGAGCAGCGGGGGTGAGCATAAGTTTCTCCAGAGTGGGTCCCAGCTCTACACAGGGCCCAATAATCCCCTTGGATCCTCACAACTTCCTGGTAAAGTCAACACCATCATCCCCATCTTACAGCTGGGAAAACAGGCTCAGAGATACTAAGTCACCTTCCCAAGGCTACATATTCAGCAAGAGACAGTGCTGGGTTTCCCCTCAGGCCTCATGACTCAATGTCCAGGCACCTCCTGCTGCTTTGTCCCTGGAACCAGCCGCACTCAGAGAAGAGCTCCCACCCTGCTCTGCTGTGAACTGGCTTGGCTCTAGGCCAGTCGCCTCCCTTGCTGGGTCTCAGCTGAGTGGGGAGGGGTCCACTGGATTTCTAAGGTCTGCCTGTCTGCTCTCCCAGTGGGTTACATCTCCACCACTGGGTATCATCCAGGCCATTCCCCCTCCCCCCTAATAATTAATCTCCAGCCAACGGCCCCAGCTGCAGTGCTTTCATCATCCTATTACCGGAGTTGCTGGCACAATAAATCTTGGTCACACAAATGCAGGCAAATCTGCAGCTATTTTCATGGCCATTACTGTGCATAGGACATTGAGACTCAGGTCATTTGCCTTTTTGATGTGGAGTCTTGCACCCCCCCCATCTTCCCTGCCTTCTTTCATTTCTCACTGGTTAGCTGCACCCCCCCCCACCCCTACCTGCTCTAAGCACACACTCCTCTTTTCACCGCTCCTATCTGTGGGCAGTGGGGCCAAGATCAGAAGACTCTGTGTGACCTTGGCCAAGTCAACTCACCTCTCTGAGCTTCTATTTCTTCACCCGCAAAGTGGAAATAACCCCTCATAGAGTTTTGGTAAAATTAAATAACCCAAGTGGTGTACACCTCACTGGTGGTACATAGGATGTTTGCTGGTGATCGCTGCTATTTTTTTTAATAGCTACATATTTATTTTAATGTGTATGTGGAAAAAATATAACTAAGATATAAAACCTGTGATCTCATGAGTATTATTACTTAGGAGACAATGAAATTAGGTATATACATAAAATGTGCTAAAGAAAAATGTGAATAATACATGGATTTAGCAAAAATCATGGAGGAGGAGACATGAGACTGAGAAAAGCTTAGAAACCTTGAAATAGTGGCTGTGCAATGCTCACCTTGATAAATATTTGTTCTGTTCTCAGCCCTCCCCCTTCCTGTGGAGGGGAATGTGGGGAGCTACAGAGGGAGGGGACCCCTTCCTGCTCTGAAAGGCGACCTGATCTAACCTGAGGTGGGGGGTGGTCACCTCAGGGACCTTCATTCATGTGAGTAACCTTCCTCGATGCCTGCTACATGCGGGCCCTGTCATGGGTGCTGGGGACACAGAGCTCAAACGGCAAGTCCCTGCCCACTGAGGAGCCCCCAGTCTTCCTCACTTCTGAACGAAACCCTTTCAGGGCCCTCCAAAGTAGCTGTCATGACTTTTACTTGACAGAATGTAGGGTAGGACTTTCCCTGAGGCCTCTGATTTGTGGAATTGTAATGAAGGCCCCAAACTGAGGACAAGAGGCTCTAAGACCACACTCTGCAAAGAGAGATCCAAAGGAGTGTGCACGTACACACACACACACACACACACACACACACACACACACACACATGCACGACTTATGTGGGAAAAAGGGGGAAGTCAGCTATAGCCTTATGAAGAGTGCTCTGTTCACACTGAGAAATGACTGCCATGATGGAGAGCATTCCAGAGCTCCTCACAGACATTGGGCATGCCTGCCGGAAGGGGAACCTTCCCCTCTTATCCTGGCAGAAAGCTTGCTGAGCCAGGAACCCACAGGCTCATCCTGGGGCTGCCACCGAGCAGCACGGAGCCCGGGATGCAGTTTCCGGGAGAGTTAGCAGTGGCGGGACTCCCACTGAAGGGGTCTGTTCCAGCCAGCAGCAATGAAAGGGGCATGGTGAGGTGTTCCAGGAGGGATTCAGAGGACCCCCTCCCAGTTCCTCCTGGGCGCGGGCAGGCATGGGAGATCGCAGCAGTCCCCAGGCTCCACACAAAGAACACACAGGAAAAGAAACACAAAGAGAAACTCAGCTCCCATCTCGGAACAGGCAACAGAGAGAGCAGAAGGGAAAGAACACGGCTCCAAGAAATTCATTCCCACCATCTCAGCTGACCACAGGTCAGCATGTCCACAGGTCTGTAATGGAACTGGACTGAAGCAGATCTGGGGCTCATGCACACACATAGAACTCTCTCCTCTGGAAAGCCACGGCTCCTCCCTGGCATCAAGTCCCCCTTGGGGACAACAGAGTTAAAAAATGATGCCTCATGGCAGTATTGAAAAACTGGCACAGATTGCTGCTCTGTCACCAACCACAGGCGCTGCTAGTGAAGCTTCCAGGTTGTCTGTGGCCAGCAGGATGTTGGGGGAGATTGCCACCTGGTGGTCAATGTTGGCAGTGCCACAGAGTTATAGGCGCAACCCTGGTCTGGGAGCCTCCAAGGTCAGAGCCAGACCAGACTTGAACTGAATGACCTTGGACAAGTCACTGCCACTCTCTGAGCCTCACTTTTCTCATCTCAAATGTAGGAAAATGCTGCCAGCCTTGCAGGGCCCTGGTGAGCATTAAACTCGTGCCCCTGTCTTGGGCAGGCCCACAGTAAAAGTTAGACCCACCTGGATCTTGTTCCAGCAGGACTCAGCGTAAGGGTCAGGCCCGGGAGACAGAGCGGCTGGGAGGCCCTCACAGAGAGCCCAGCTCCTCGGTTTTCTCTCACTGACCTGATCTAGGACTGTCGTTCCATCTGTGGGGAACTGGTCTTAGCCCACACCTGGATAACTCTGGGATTGCAGAAGTTCAGAAAAGTGAACTTGACTCCATGCTGGCTCCAGAGAGTCTCTGGACTGTAGGGAGCCAGAGGTCTGCAGTGAGGGTTAAGCCTGAAAGCTGGCAGGCTGAAAGGCTCTCAGGCCCGGGTGAGCAGCGTGGGAAGGTTGGCCGCTGAGGAGAAAACAGCCAACGGCCTTGAAAGCTAGAGTGGAATGCCAGCCTGTGAACAGTTTCTGCTTGCTGTGTTTTGCTTTACTCTGGGAAATTGCTTCCCCACACCCAATGGAAAGCCCCGGGGGAAGTGTTCCCTGGGAGGAGGGGACTACTCCCTCAAGTTCCCCAAACCCCCCCCCACCTAAGGAAAGTTACTTTTGCTATAAAAGCTGTGTACCAATAATAAACGGGGCCACTCTCTGCCATCAGCATTGGGTGGACCTCCTGTCCCCAGCTTTCGTCTCTAGTCTCTTTCTTTTCCAGTCTCCCACCCAGTCCTCTCAGGTACCCTTTCAGTAAGCTCCTGGCTAATCAGTCGGGAGTGCTCAGTTGGTGCGCGGGTCGCATCACTGGACTACCTGGTTCCAGCTTCAGTTCCATCACTAAGTTGCTGTGTGACCCTTGACAAGGCACCTGGCCGATGTCTAAGCCTCTACTTCCTCTTTTGTACAAAGCAGTACTCACTCCTGTCCTGGAGGAGCAGTGGGGAGTGACTGGGCGACCCCGACAATAGGCAGTGGGGCCCACAGCCTTCACTGGCGCCAGGCCCTTGCTCAGGGGTGGAGAGGACAAGCTCGCCCGTCTCTGTCCCTTTGCATCACTCACGCACACTGAATCCTCGTGTTGCTGTGTCCACTTTACAGAGAACAAATGCAGGCTCAAAGTGTTTAATAAATTACCCAAGGTCTCACTCAGCTGTTTTTTGTTTTGTTTTGTTTTGTTTTGTTTTTAAGGAAGAAAGGAAGGAAAAAAGGAGGTGAAGGAGGGAGGGCTAAA